CTTGGCAAAGATACTGGAGTGGTTTGCCATTTCCTTCTCCAGCTCATTTTATAAATGAGGAAACTGAGGCAAACAGGGCTAAGTGACTTACCCAGGGTCACACAGCTAGTGTCTGAGGCCTGATTTGAACTCAGATCCTCCTGACTCCATGGCTGGCACTCTATCCACTGTGCCATCTAGCTGTCCCATGTGATGATGATGCTATAGCATAATTAAATTGCTTAATTCTTCCTCTTGGGCTCAGAAGTTTTTAACATTGCATTTTTCAAGGATTGGATGGATAGAAAAAACTTTATTATCTTTTCCCTCATCCCCCTCTCCTCAAGGCCAGTAACCCCAGTGGCCAAGTGAGGACTGTTGAAGTATGGTTGATACCTCCTTGCACTACACCTTGATATGCCTACTCTCAGGTTTACAAGGGGGCAAGGAAAGATCTTATATCCAAATGCGGGAGACTTAAGAAACTTTCTCCTTGTCCTTGTAGAGATCCAGCTGTGCCCCATGGACAGAGGAAATGATTAAGTATGAACAGGACAAAACAGTAATAATTATGAAAGTGGAAAGGGTATTATCTTTCTAAATCAACTTATATGTGTTTATTGAGCATTTACAATGTTCTGGACACAGTCCCAGGCACTAAGGATACAAAAGAGTATAATGCTGACTTTGAGGTTTTTTTGTTCTTTTTAAAAATGAATGCGTTGTAACAGCCATGCATATTAGCAGAGGTTCACATACCTCAGAACTAAAAGCATGTCTTGCTCTTGAGGAACTTATGGTATAACTGAGGAAACAGGTAATGCACATAAAAACAACAAACAATTCAAGGTAATATATGCCAATTGCGAAATGTGTGGTCCAGACAATGAATGTTACAGGAAATCAAAGTTGTGAGAGATTGGTTTGAGTAAGAGTGAACAGGGAAGCTTCATGGAAGACAGAGGACTTGACCTGGACCTCAATGATGGACTGGTCAGATTCAGAAAAGTGGGGTAGGAAGGAGAGCTAGAAGAGCTAGAAGAAGTCTAGGGAGGAAGAATACATGAGCAAAAGTTGAGGTAAAAATGCCCTTTATATGTTTCTGCAGGGTTGGATGCCTCTGGCTGGAACACAGTGTTTGTAGAGGAGAATAGTGAATAATGAAGCTAGAGAGGATTAGGGTTACATTGTAGAAGGACTTGACTTCAGGGTAAATGAAATTAGCTCCATAGTATCTCCTGAGACTCGGTGGTGACTCATCAGCTCCTATGGATTTAATTTAATTACTGTCTCTACACTGATGATTCTCAAATCTACCTATCCTGCCCTCACCTGACCTCCAATGTTCCATCTCCAACTGCTTTTCAAACACCTAGAATTGGATGTCCAGTAAACATCTTAAACTAAACATGTCCAAAACAGAGCTCATTTTCTGCCTCCCTAACCCTTCCCTCTAATTTCCCCACCACCCCCCAAAAACAACCTTCCTTATTACTATAGAGGGCAATCCCATCCTCCCAGTCCCTTAGGCTTACAACCTAGGATTCTTCACTATCTCTCAGCCCCCAGATCTAAGCTGTTACAAAGGCCTGTCAATTTTATCTCTGCATCATCTCTCAAACATACCTTCTTCTCTCCTCTGTCATTTACACCACCCTAGTGAATGAAGACCCTCATCACCTCCAGCCTGGATTATTGCAATAGTCTGTTGGTGGGTCTGCCTGCCTCAAGTCTCCACACCCCATCCTCCACTCCAGTCTACCTTCCATTCAGCCACTAAAGTGAATTTCCGAAAGTGCAGGTTTAATTATGTCACTCCTGTATTCAGTAAACTCTAGTGGCTTCTGTTGCCTCCAAGATCAAATACAAAATGCTCCATTTGGCATTCAACACCTAGCCTTCATAACTCAATACCTTTATAATCTAGCCCCACTCCTACCTTTCCAGTCTTCTTGCACCTTACTTTCCACCATGTTCTCTTTTATCCAGTGACATTGGCCTTCTGGCTGTTCCATAAACAAAACACTTCATCTCTTAGCCTTGGACATTTTCTCTGGATATCCCCCATGCCTGAAATGTTCTACTTCCTCAAATCCACCTACTGATTTCCCTGTCTTCCTTTAAGTCCCAACTAAAATCTCATCTTTTGCAGGAAGCCTTTCTCACTCCCTCCTAATTTCAAGTGCCCTCCCTCTCTTAATTATTTCCTTTTTATGCTGCATATAATTTGGTTGTATGTATTTGTTTGTTGTATCTTCCAATAGATTGTGAGTTCCTTAAGGGAATGGATTGTGTTTTGCCTCTTTTTGTATCACCAGCACTTAGCACATAGTAAGCCTGGCACACAGTAAGCATTTAATAAAGTTTGTTGATTTATTGAGATGAACCAGTGTAGGGGGTGTGCTGTAGCAACTTCCAATTCAATGACCTGAAGGTCATTGTTAAATTTTCAGGACGAATATTTACACCTTGGAAATCAGCAAAAAATAAAAATTAAAAAAAATCTACAAATCAGGGCTTGATTTATCATTTTGTTGATTGTCTAGATTTATGAAAGTGATAGCGAAAATAGCAACGATAATGATAGCTAACACTGATATAGTGCTTGCTATGTGCCAGGCACTGTGTTAAACATTTTACAACTATTATTCCATTTGACCTAATGATAATGCAGATTAACTTAATATATCTTGCATACATTTTTCTCTTCTCATTTTCTTCTTCCTTCTGCTCATCTTTCTACTGTGCACGATTAATATTTTGGACTTATTCATAACAGCATTGAGAGCTAGAAGATAACCTGGAAATTATCTAATGCAGCCCTCTCATTTTACAGGTGAGGAAACTAACATTCTAAGGTTCAGGAAAATTGTTACTTTCCAAAGGTTCTATTGATAAGTTTATAGATGAGTTCAGTTATGACCCAGAAAAGAATCATTGTTATCTCCCCCATGAATGTATACTCCTTGAAAGCATGGACAACTTTTGTCTTTCTGTGTATCCCATAGCAGGTAACATGTGGTAAGCTGTTAACAAATACTCATTGATTAACTGACTGCCTTTTTTGACCCTGAAGATGCTGGCCCAATGTGCTTTGGTTAGAAAAGGAGACTCTTGCTGGATACCACCAAAAAAAAGCTTAGAGAAAAAGAAAAAGGAAACGTTATCCTATTAATAAAACCAAGACGTATCTCTACCAAGTTTGTCCACTCAGGGACTGCAACATGTCAAATTGGAACACCTCATGAAAGATATAAGGATTTGGAGAAGATTCAGAGAAGGGTACTTAAAATGGTCAAGTGGGTGGGAAGAGGCCTTGAAGGAAGGCTTTGACATGTGATATTCATGTAAGTTGATTTCTAGAGGTTCCCTAGAGGAAAATGATCCTTTCAAGCTTACCTAATTAAGATGGAGAGGAGGGAAGTGGTAGGGGAGGAATGGTCATGAAAGTAAGAAACTGACTCACTTTTTCTCCTACTGTAAGAGGCAAGCACATTATTACTCTTCTTCCTTTTTCCCCCCCTTCCTTTCCTCCTGCCAGAAGGGCTGATGGGGTCCTGGGTGGGAACCTAGACTACAAGAGATATAAGTGAACTTGAGCAGGGAGCCCAACATTTAGAGTCAGAATACTTGGCTGAATGGACCTGGGTGTAACTTTGTATGCCTTTTTTTTTTTTGAATGTTTGCACAAGAGAAAATGTGTGGGCTAAAAGTTTTCTTTAAAGCTGTTTGTAATGTTGTTTTATAAAGATCCCAAATAGAGTCAATGGAAATTTAATTCTGTGTTCTGTGTAAGGTTGAAAGTGTTTGGTCAGCAAAACTATCTAATCAGTCAAAATGAAGCATTATTAATATCATGAGGTGAATTTTTGACTAGTTTAATACCCAGCAGGAAACATAAAAGTTAGAGTTGGCCTTATTTAGATCTGAATCATTCAGTTTCAATAACTGAACAGCCTTCGTTTACCCTCACCCACTGGGGTGCTGTTAAATGTTTAACAACCAGCTCTCCAGTAAAAATGAAACTATGCATAAAGCACTTTTAAGTTTAATCTGCACTGCTAACATTTTCTCCATCACTTTCTTTTTTTAAAATTTATTTTTAGTTTTCAATATTCACTTCCATAAGCTTTTCATTTGTAAATTTTCTCCTTCCTCTTTCCCCTCCCCAAGATGGTATGCAATCTGATATAGGCTCTACATATACATTCATATTAAACACATTTTTACATTTAGTCATGTTGTAAAGAAGAATTAGGACCAATAGAAGGAAGCACGAGAAAGAAGAAAAAAACAAAACAACAATAACAAAAAAGAGAGCAAATAGTATGTTTTAATGTGTATTCAGACTCCATAGTTCTTTCTCTGGATGTGGACAACATTTTCCATCATGAGTCTTTTAAAGTTGTCTTAGATCCTTGTGTTGCTGAGAAGAGCCAAGTCTATGAAAGTTAGTTATCGCACAATGTGGCTGTTACTATGTACAATGTTCTCCTGGTTCTGTTCACTTCACTCAGCACCAGTCCATACAAGTCTTTCCAGGTTTTTCTGAAGTCTGCCTGTTCATCATTTCTTATAGCACTATAGTATTCCATTATATTCATATACCACAACTTGTTCAGCCATTCCCCAACTGATGGGCATCCTCTCAATTTCCAATTCTTGGCCACCACAAAAAGAGCTGCTATAAATATTTTTGTACATGTGGGTTCTTTTCTCTTTTTTTATGATTCCTTTAGGGTACAGACCAAGAAGTGGTATTGCTGAGTCAAAGGGTCTTCATCACTTTCTTAAGCCTGAACTATCATCAAAACAATAAATCAAGCCCTGATTTGTAGTCTTTGCCAATTTCCAAAGTACAAATGCTCACACCCAAAAGTTTAACAATCATCCCTCAGGAGCCAATTTGAGATGGCTCCAGCAAACATCTGTACATCACCCCACTCCTTCAGATTGCCACAGTAGAGTCTTCCTAAATGTTATACCCAGATTAACACTTTCTTGTTTCTGTATACCTCTAGCTCATCACTGCTCCCAAGGCTGAGAACAACATGTATGTGCAGCAGCGAGATGAATACCTGGAGAGTTTCTGCAAAATGGCAACCAGAAAGATCTCTGTGATCACTATCTTTGGCCCTGTCAACAACAGCACCATGAAAATTGACCACTTCCAGCTAGGTGGTTTTAAAAAAAAATCATTACATTATTTTTTCATGTCCTAAAAGAGGGATGGGGCCAATCCTAGGGGGAAAGAATATGCTTCTTCAGTGTGGTATCACTCTATTTCTTCCCTTCTCCGCTCCTTTTTTCCATAGCTGTCCTGGCGTTTTCCCATGTTTAAGCTGTAAAATGAAATTTATGGCATTTCTTGCTGCTAGTTTAGAAGTCAGAGAAATGGTGAGAAGGAGAGAAGGAACCCAAGGGGCTAGGAAGGAGGCAGGGATGGGATGGAGGGAATCAAGGCATTTGCCAGAATTCTAACACTTTATGTGGGTTCAGCTCCTCCTAGAATAAAACCATTTGATAGATGTGTGCACGGCATAGATACGTTTTGTGGACTGGACATAGCAGGTGGTTTACTCACTCACTCACAGACTCAGGGGCCTGCCAGACTCCTTGGAACTCTTCAGTTCCTGGCAAGGCAGGGAGGGGAATTAACTAGAATTGAAACAAAGTTGTTTGGGCTAAAGGAAAAAGCAACTGAAAAAATAGAGTGGACTGAGCTTGATGCTATTGGAAAAGGAAAGGCCTTGACTGAATTAGGTTCTTTGCAATTTTTTTTAATATTAATAATCCCTATAAGACTGACAAATAATAAACTCAGTGTTAAGGCTGTAGGCTATACTCATGATACTTTTCAGATACGGACTCAACATTACACTTCAAAATGTTTTTTTTTAAATACAGTTCTAAAGCACTTAAAAAAAAACTTTTGGCAAAATTCTGTCATGTGTACACATTCCTTCATTGTTATCATTTACCTCCTACTGCCACAGTCAGAACTTTTTTTTTTTGCCTAGAACTGTGATTTCATGGGTATCTATAGGGAATTCTCAGTGAGGAAACTGTCTCTACCCATGCAGATCAATGCCTTGCAAATTAGAATGTTAGAGAGCTGCCTGACGACACTGAGAAGTAAGCACCTGGCCCATAGTCACACAACCAGGATGCGTCAAAGTCTGGACTTGAACCCAGATCTTTACAGCCAGATTTCAATGTGCTATGCCACACTTCTCCTTGGACAAAGGAATAATACTTTACAGATCAACATTCTCTATTATCAGTCCAATCAAAAACATTACTGATGCTAAATATATAGAAAAATGGACTGTCCAAGAAAAAGTTGGCACATTTATCTATGAAGCAACCTGCACGTCCTTCTTCCCCTTTCACGGGGAGGGGTTGTAAAACACAACAGGGGCTTGCCATCCCTGGGATCTGGCTGCCTCTTCAGCTCTCTCTGTGCTTATTGTACAGCCTTGGTCAGGAAGGGCACACTCTGGGGCTGGATTAAATTATAGCTGTGAAGTACTTGGAAGTCTTTAAAGAAAGGTGTACTTGTAGTGTGGGCTATTTATATTTTCAAAGTTCTTTGCAATTGGTGGGATTTCTTACCTCAGCTTTTGTTCTGTGAGGGAAGGTGCATTATTATTTCTCTTTTAAAAGGTAGGAAATCAGGTGTTGGCTAAGCTGAGGTAAAAAACAAATAGACAAAAACAAAACTTCTTGCCCCCTAACTTTTAGGCTGTTATTTAGGCAGTGAGTTACACAATAAAATCTAACTAGATAAGAAGGAGAAGTATACTCTAGTGTAGAGAATTGTGCTAGGTAATCATGGAAGTTGTCCAAGACGGGGGGATCCAGAATGTCAAATCTGTTATCCACCAATTCCATAAAGTATTTTTTTAAAAGTCTGTTACCTAAAGATGGCCTTTAGATGGCCATTCTTTTTTCCCATCTCGATATCTATCTCTTCCCAAATGTTATAAGTATTTTGTGTTGCCTGGCAATTTTACAACATAATTCTATCGCCTTCTGGACATCTGGATCTAATGTGAATCGTATAGACGCCTGTGTTTTATTTCTCCTACATAGGGAGCCAGGCACTGTAATTTGGTTGTTTGCTTCCCTTGGATGACATACTAGGCCTGCTTTTTTGGGGACCTCTTTTTTCTTTTCCTTTCTGAAGTCCTTGTGTGCCTTTATATCTCCTCATTTCTCATCAGATTTGAAAGGAAAGCCTACCACGTATACACTATTAAGCCAGAGCTGACAGAACAGCTATGGGAAAATAAGAACCAGCTTGCACCATCATCCAAAATCTCAAAACTTTGGCCCTGACCAAAACTCAGTTGGAAATTGATCAGATGGCTTTAATTTTCCATTTAAGAATTTTTTTCAGGCACTTTTTTCAGACTTTTCCAAATTTTAAGTGGGCCCAGAAGTAAAGGCCCTTATCCAATCCCAGTGCCATCTGTGCTCATGAGGTACCACACCCTAGCATGTGCATTCAAGAGACTGCCAGAATCTAGGTAACGTGTGGCTAAGCATCTAGGTTCTAGGGTATTTATCTTTCTTAAGATGTGCAGGGCCAGAGAAAGACAAGAGAGTCAGAGAGACACAGAGATGGAGAAAGACAGGGAGAGAGACAGAGAGAGAGAGACAGAGACAGACAGAGAAAGAGAGGGGAGAGAGAGACACACAGAAAGAGACAGAGAGACAGACAGACACATACACACAGAGACACAGAGAAAGAGAGAGAAGGAGAGAGAGGGAGAGACAGACAGAGAAAAGGAAAGAGAGGGAGAGAGACAGAGAAGAAAGAGAGAGAGAGGTGGAGAGAAAGGGGCAGAAAGAGAGAGAGAGAGAGAGAGAGAGAGAGAGAGAGAGAGACAGAGAGAGAGAGAGAGAGAGAGAGTTATTTTGCTTGAGCAAGTTCCAACCCATCAGATGCATATCAGCTGGGGTGGTACAGGGAAGCCTGGAAACTGTTCCTTTAAGGCATGAGGTTGGGGTTAAAAGAGTCCAATCTTTGAAAGAATTTCTTCACTGCCAATGGCATTTAAAAGATGCTAATCTTGGAGGAGAATATGTGAGTGTGTGTCAAGACAATAGAATTAAAGGGAAAGTCTCCTCAAGGGAAAAGTAGCTGGCTGCAAACTCTGTTTGTTCAGTAGAAGGAAAAAATAGCCCTGTGCTTTTTTGGCAATATAAAGGTATTTGTTTGTTTGTTTCCAAACTCTCATTGTTTGTTGAGTTTGGAGATGAAAAGTGTGTGATAATCACACCTAACAGGTCAGTTTTTGAGAACAAGAACATAGTGGATCTTTTAAGGAAAGAAGGTCTTTGGCAGTTTATAGGAAGGAGATAGGGAGAGTTTCAGTAGAATGTAGAAAGGGAGGTAGAGGATGTGATTTAAGTGGAGAGCAAAATGAAAGTATGAAGAGGAATGCTAAAGGTACCTAAACCAGGTGTGGGCAAACAAACAAACAAACAAAAAGCCACAGGCAGTGTTTTTTCTTATAAGTAGCAAAAGGGAGAATGACAGGCTATATCACTCTCGCAGATAGCAGCTGGAACTGCCCTCTTCTTTACCTCAATATTTTCTGTCCTGGATGACTTTTTTATGTCAAAGTTCTATAAAGTTGAATCCATCAGGGACCTGAGATAGATAAGAGTGCATAGATTCTTGTTACTTTTTCTCAAAAGCAGACTTAGCAGGTTGACCACATACTAATTATTCTTTCTTGTTGAGTTGTTTTTCAGTCATGTCTAACTCTTTGTGATGCCATTTGGGGTTTTCTTGGCAAAGATACTGGAGTGGTTTGCCATTTCCTTCTCCATCTCATTTTATAGATGAAGGAACTGAGTCAAACAAGGTTAAGTGACTTGCCCAGGGTCACACAGCTAGTAAGTGTCCAATGCCAGATTTGAATTCAAGAAGATGAGTCTTTCTGATTCACCTTCTTAGTTGACTGCCATTGTCCTCTGCCTCTTGTCCCTGCCATTCCAAGGTGGCTCAAGTCAGGAGTATGTGCTTACCAGATGCTCTGTTTTCTGGAGTTTAACCATTGCACTCCTATTTATTATTCAGCTTCTGATTTTAATAGTTTTCAATTTGAGGGATTAGAAGACCACAGAGTTTAGAGCTGGAAAGGATATTTGAGATCATTATTATTCTTGTTGTTATAAATGTATGTATATAGTATTACAAAGGTTAGGGATGGAAATGTCTCAGGGCAAGGGCTGTGTCTGTGTCATTAGACGGTGGCAATTTGTAGCAGCTAGTCGGCACAATGGGTGGCGTGCTGGGCCTGGAGTCAGGAGGAGCTGAATTCAAATTTGGCCTCAGACACTTGCTAGTTTTGTGACTCTAGGCAAGTCATTTAACTCTGTTTACCTCAGTTTCCTCATCTATAAAATGAGCTGGAGAAGGAAAAGACAACCCGCTCCAGCATCCTTGCCAAGAAACCTTCAGATGAGGTTACAAAGACTTGGACAGGACTAATCGAATAAACAACAATTCGTACAAATGCCCCTCGCCTCCACCCCACCCTTATCTCTGTTGCCCCCAATGACTGCCATCTGCTTCTTTTGTTCTCTGCTCCATGTAACCACACAGCCATTATATCTATCTAATACAATAAGAGAAATTGGAGCAGGAAGTATTCTCTTTTGTAAAGCAAACAGATAGAAACTGTACTCTACAGGTGAGAACAGAACCAGTTCACTGATGATAAGAGCATCATTCCAAAAACATCCACAGGATGCATGTTGTGCTTTCCACATGCAAAGATGAAGAAGAGGGAGGGGGATTGTCTCTGCCTTCAAAGACTTTACAACCTAGTAAATACTTTCTTATACAGTTAAAATTCTACAAGGGAAGTCAATCAAGGAAAGCTGGGAATTTCTCAAAAACAAGGATGTTTAAGATACAAAAAGAACCAATTTAAATGTTGAGGAAAAAGCAAAACCAGGAAAGAAGATGGATATGTCTACAAGGGGGAAAATCATGGACCAACTTATGGGGGTTTTTTTGTTTTTGTTCTTTGTTTTGTTTTGTTTTGATTTTTTTTTGGAAAAAGATATATACAAGGGTTAATGGATATAATATAATACATGAGTGTGGCATGGTCCTCCCAGAATAACATTTGGGCGTATGAAAACTCTTAATGAGCTAAGGCTAACAAGCATGGCTAAGAACAACAAGAAGTTAGTTGGTTTTGTTTTTTTTTTTTTTGTATTTTCAATTCTGTCACAGAAAAGAGAAAGATCAAAGAAAGGATAGGCTGTTGGGGTGGCTGGAACAATGTAATAGATGATGGAGGGAATATCTAATTGCTCAATTCTTCATATTTCTTTTCTTAGCTAAATAAAGTGACCCTTGGGTTAGGAAGGACAGAACAAAAAGGGCTAATAAGAAGCTAAAATCCAAGATAAGTAGGGAAACAGTAAGGAAATGCTTAGTTGGCTTCAAGTCACCAGGCCAAGATCAACTACTACCTAGGGTGTCAAAGGCCCTGGCTAATGTGATTGCTGAACTGCATCTTTGAAAGATTTCAGAGAATTGCATCAAATAGATGGTTTACGATTGGAGAAGGACAAACATTGTTCTGATTTTTAAAAATGAAGAGAGCGGAGTCCGGAAATTGGAGGACATTGACCTTTACTTTACCTGGAAAAATTCTATATTTTATTATTAAAGGGATGCTTAATATATACCTTTAAAAGGAAGAAGTGACTATAGAGAGCCACTGTCAGACTAATTCTCTCTCTCTCTCTCTCTCTCTCTCTCTCTCTCTCTCTCTCTCTCTCTCTCTCTCTCTCTCCCTCTCCCTCCCTCCCTTCCCCCCTCCCTCCCTCTCCCTAATTCCTTCTCCCCCTCCCCCCCCTCAGTCACTAGACTATTAGATCAGGGAAATGGTATAGAACTGGTTTACCTGGATTTTAGCGAAGTGTCAGACAAAGTTTCTTATGCCTTTCTTGGTGCCAAGGTGAGAAATACAAGTTAAATCATGGCATGGTTTTGTGGATCTGGAAATGGTTGAATAGTTATGTCTGAAAAGTTATAATTGGTCAATGCTTTCATAGAAAGAGGTCTCTTATGGAGTGCTTTAGAGACTTCTGCTCAACAGATTTATTAGTGACTTGCATAAAAGCATAGATACATGGTTACCACATTTGCAGATGATACAAAGCAAGCAGGGTGGAGGGAGGATTGCTAATCCTTTGGATGACAGATCTCAATAGGCTAAATCTAATAAGGTGGAATTTAATAGGCATAAATATAGAGATTTAGATTTGGGTTCAAAAAAAAACTACTTACCAGGCACAAGATAGTAAAGCCAGAAATTCACTTGAAAATAGTCTGGGAGTTTTAGTAGACTTCACCTCAGTGAGAGTTCAAGAGTGTCATAAGACAGCAAAGAAAACTAACTTTTCTTAGATTGTGTTAACAGAGGCATGGAAAGCAGGGGGTTGATAGTTCTGCTGTATCTACAATTCACATCTGTATACCGTGAGCAGTTCTGAGCACCACATTTAGGCAGGACGTGGAGAATTCCCAGAGGCTGGTGACCATGATGGTAAAGAACCTTGAAATCATTCCATTTAAAGGTTGACTGAAGGAACCGAGAGAATTTAGGCTGAAAAAGAAGAGATAGAGGAAAGGAACAACTGTCTTCATATGTATGAAGGATTGTCATGTAGAAGAGATGTGAAATTTGTTTTGCATTATCTCATAATGTCAAATTAGAAGGAAGTTGCAAAAAAGCTAGTTTTGCTTTGCTCTAAGGAAAAACTTTCTAACAAATTAGAGCTGTCCAAAAGTGACATTTAAATACACACACATGTGCATATACATGCACACATGCACATATGTGTATGTATATGAATATGTGTATATACATGTATGTATGTATACATATGTTTATACATTATGTACTTGTATGTTTTATATATATACACCTGTAGCATACATTTTCTATACATGTATATGCATACATATACCTATACATGCATAAATATATACCTATATGCACATATACATATTTATATATATAGCTTTGGGTGACAGTGAGTGCCTTCTCACAAGGAGTTTTCAAGCAACTTTGGATGACCATTTGTCTCTTATTCACTTACCCTTTTTCCAAGCTACCCTTCCAAAGTGGAAGTTCTACCCCCACCCCCAGTCCATCCCTATCACCAAGGGGTCTGTGAATAGATTTCAGCAGGCCCATGTACTTGGATTGGAAAAAAATTGATCTTTATTTCAATATTTTCATTGTAATTCTATGTGTTTTAATTTATGCATTTAAAACATTATGAGAAGGGATCCCTAGCCATCAATAGATTTCTAAAGAGGAATATGACAAGAAAAGACCTGTGGCCAAAAAAACCCTACTTGCCACTCTCATGTACAAGACTGCCCAGAATGTAATGTATTTTTTCCATCCCAGTCTCCCAGAGAGACCATAGAATGGCTAAAACACCACAAAATGGGCTAGTACTGTGGTCAATATCAAATTGAACAGGATAAAAGTTGGAACATTGTATATATATGTATGTGTGTATGTGTGTATATGTGTGTGCGTGTATGTATGTATGTATGCATGCATGCATGTATATATGTATAGTCAAAATATATAATCCATGCTAGAGACGGGAGAGTTACGGATGCTCTTGGATAAAATTTCAAATACATGACCCAAATTTCTGGATATGTTTTCAGACTGAAGCAGACCTCTCTTTCACCTGGCATTCATTTAAATAAAATTAAAGACAGGACCAATTTTTTTTTGGCAGGAGCTGGCAGCTGGAGGCAGGAGCTGTCCCAAGATAGACACAAGAACAACCTAACACCGTATTTGGTCAAGTTCTCAGCTTTTCTACCATGATTGTAGTACTACCCAATAACCTAGCTATAGTATTGGTCAATATTTCCATTGTTTTTCTTTGACAGCTTTTGCTACTTTATCACGAATATTCATTTTGGCCCATGATTCTCTCCAGAGCCTGGGAGAGAAGAATTTACCATGTCTTTGGTTTGGTCAAAATCTCTTAGCCAAGTTTTTGGCTGGAAGGAAAGACCAGATCATGGAACTGAGCTTCTTATCGCTCTCTCTAATGGACCCCATTTGTAATGATAGAGGTAATATAAACAGGTAGGGCCTGTAAAAAGTTGATTCTGGGAAATCTTAATACTTGGAAGGAGTGGTGTTATATGGAGCCAGGTCCTGGCTCTGGCTTTAATTCAAAATTTGGCTATCTAGATGGCCAAGATATGGTGAACTTGGAAACTAAGAACAGTATTCTCACTAAGCAGGACTCAAGGCAAGATTTGTTAAGTTTTGCCATCAGCACACAAAGTAACTGAGAAACATTATTTTTATTTAGTGCTTTGCAGTTTGCAAATGTGTTTTTTTATTTGTCCCTCAGAACAACACTAAAAAGTAGGCAATGTTCTATTTTTTCCAATGTTTTAGACATTTTTATTTAAAGTTTTGAGTTCCAAATTCTATCCCTCCCTCCCATCCTCCTCTCCCCTCTCCCTGAGATGACAAGCAATCAGATATAGGTTATACATGTGCACTGATGTGAAAATTTCCATAGTAGTCATTTTGTACAAGAAGACTTGAAAGAGAAAAAAATGAAAGAAACAAAGTGAAGAACAGCATGCTTCAATCAGTATCATTTCTTTCTCTGGAGGTGGATCATTAGTCCTTTGGGATTGTCTTGGATGATTGTGTTGCTGTGTTTTCCGTAGTTCAACAGATGAAAAACTGAGGCTCAGAGAGGTTCAGTTACTTGCCCTAGGTCACCTCAATAGTGAATGAGTGATGGGAAGGGGGAAGGGAAAGAAATAAGCTTCATTATAGTACCTAATAGGTGTTAGGCTGTGCTAAACACTTTACAAATATTTTCTCATTTCATTCTCACAACAACCCTAGATGATAGGTGCTATTATGATCTTCATTTTAGAGTTGGGGAAACTGAGGCAAACAGAAGTTTAAGTGACCTTTCCAAGGTCATGTAGCTAGTAAGTGCCTGAGGTCAGATTTGAACTTAGGTATTCTTGACTCCAGGAGCAGTTCTCTATTCACGGTATCTGTCCTTGGACTTTAAAAATGTAAGGTGTTAACTTTTGTTTGCCATATCTTTCTCCAGTGGATTAAGGCAAACAGAAGTTAAATGACTTGCCCAGGGTCACACAGCTAGTAGTGTCTGAGGCTCTATTTTAACTCAGCTCTTCCTGACTTCAGGCCCAGCTTTCTATTCACTAAGCCACCTACGTGCCACCTACCCCATACTCATTCATATTTTATCTCCTTTAAGATAATGAGAAACCCATGAAGGTGCTAGATGATGAAGACTTAGTAGATCAGCATCTCATCAGTGAACTGAGGAAGGAGTATGGAATGACCTACAATGATTTCTTCATGGTGCTAACTGATGTTGACATGAGAGTCAAGGTAGGGACTTTGTGAGCTAAGGTGCCATTCCCTAGTATGATGATTCAGATTTTTTTCTGCAAATGGTTTCCTTTGACTGAAATGTATATGTCTTATTCTCCACTTGATGTCCTATACATTTGCTGTTTCTGTTTTAATGTTCTGATCTAATGTTCTGATCCTTGCCATTTTTTTGACTTTCAAAAGTCAAAAAATTTTGACTATTCTCATTTGTATCAAAGGTATGTGGGACTAGATTACCTTTTATAAAACTAATGGTTGAAAATGCAAACTTACTTATAAAACACTGTGGAGGAAGAAGAGGAGGAGGAGGACAAATAATTATGAGTAGGATCACTTAACAAAATGTTGAAGGGAAACAGTTGAGTTGACTTCAGTTTTAAGATGCAACAGAGAAATGTATTGTCAACACCATGGAAACCAGGAGTCACTAATGGAGGCAGCTCTTTGGCTCTGGATAGAGAGGCATCCTCTACAGCTGGTGCCTTGTTGGTATGCAGAGGCAGTAAGGGCTGAAATAGTAAAGGAAGCAATGGGAAAGTTATAAGCTTCCAGAAAATAATTAGGCTGTCTAATTTTGGCCCAAATTCAGGCAGCTTTGGTTGTTCATAGAACAAGAATCAGCCTCAGGTAAGCTCGTTAGATGCCAGAAAGTGGCACTTTATTTAGCTTTATTTCACTTACTGAAGAAAAATTTCCCTGATGTTGGCAAGAATTGGATTCTTCTGCATTCCCATTGGCTGCCACTCTTCAGTTTTTGTAGATCTGCCTTAGCCATATGCCAAGGCATAGTAGGGACAGAACGACATAGGTCACTATCATAATGATAATTGCTTCTTTTCAGCTAGCTTTTAGAGTTCTGACCCTGGAGGGAGTTTCCAAGAGCTAGCTCATTCTTTTTTATCCATACATGACTGCACACATTCAGTAACCATCATTTCTTATGTTAAAACCACTAGCCTAAGATCCTTTCTAGCTCCAATATCTTACGATTCTATAAACTGTTAAATGCACAGCACCACACTACCTTCTGATCACTCTCTACATCAATATTTCCCATCCTCAAACTTCTATATAGTTCAACCAGGTAAAATACTTAAATTCACTCCTGTTGACTGCTCTATAGCTCTAAGTTTCTTAAGAAATGGGGCCTAGGAACTCAGGAGGAATAGATATATAGGAAGAAATAAATGAAGTCCCATCTGAATTCTCCAGACATGATTGTGTCATATCTCTTCCTATTAAATACATGCATAGATAATTCTCATAAATATTTTTTAGGGATGAGGGAACAGGCATATAGCTTGATAGTCATTCACATTTTCCCAGTTGCCTTTTGGTGATAAAAGCGCTATGATGGTATTTTTCAATGAAAAAAAAAAACTTCATCTGAGATACTCTGAGTATTTTTAACATTATTTTGCCTCCAATGGTTTCTTCTGTAGGCACTTGGTCAGGATCACCCTCTCTCCTTGACTGAATTTTATAAAGTGTTGTTGCTACTAGATAAGCATCGTATATCCGATATTAAGGTGTTAAGTGGAGTGATTTCACTATTATTACTAACAAAGTAAATCACTATCAAAATACCAGTGGATTTGTTCTATGTCATATCTGTTTGTTGACCTCTCGGTTAGGGGGATCTCACCTTAAGCTCTTGGTAGGTTCTTTTTTCCCTCAGCTGTTTTTCACGATTTCCTAATCTTCTGCCTTCTTCCTCCATGGTGTTTTACAAACAAGTTTTCACTGTAATTGCTGTTGTTGTTCAGTAGTCTTCAGTTGTGTCCAACTTGGTGACTCCATTTGTTTTTTTGTTTTTGTTTTTTGGCAAAGATACTGTAGTGGTTTGCCATTCCATTCTCCAGTTTATTTTACAAATGAGGAAACTGAGGCAAACAGGGTTAAGTGACTTGCCCCAGGTCATATAGCTAGTAAGGGTCTGAGGCCAGATTTGAACTCAGAGAGATGAGTCTTCCTGACTTCAAGCCTGACACTCTGTCCACTGCGCTACCTCGCTGCCCATCTCACTCTAATGTAGTATTATATTTTCTTATTCTTTTTATTCATTTAGCAAAGAGACTGACTGTTTGCTGGATAACATGATTTCTGGGCTATTTTGGTTTCTGATTAAAATTCTGTAGGAAATAATGATAGTATCATCATTTTTATTCATTTCCTCATTTTCAGTCATTAGTTTATCCATAAAAGGTCAATAAAGAACTCCTGAATCACACACAATCCCTTTTTCCTCACCTTTATTCTTTCTTCCAATCTGGTGTTTATTTTGACCTCTGCCGTGACCAACTGATGATCTGAGTATTCACAGACAGATGATTCCAGTATGTCTACTATGTCTGTAATCAGTTTCTTTTTGTCTGTTAAATATATCTGAGTTCATGTTTCCTTATATCATTTGCTATTTGCCATGCCCGGTGCTTTCTGACTTTCTTATTGAAGAATGTATTCTGAAGCATAAGACTCCAACCTAAGCTGTAAGCCTTTGGCCTATTTCTTTCATTGATCCTGAGTCATATTTTCCAGCAGATTTAGCTTTTCCTATGTTGCAAGAACAGTTTCTCTGTCCCTCTTCTTCCAGCGCCTATTTCTTTCTCTTCCTCACCACCCTTCTGATAGACTGAGAAGTTTCTTTACACAGGTTTATTACCATGGGTAGACTCAGCTGAGTAATTTCATTCACTTTTCTGTATTAAATATGGTGCTCCTCACTTCTTTTTCTGTTGTAAAGTGCATGAGAAACAGCTTGGCCTCAAAGGCAGGGGAAGTGAAACTGGGATACATTCATAGTGAAGCACTTTGGAGGTAGGTGGGTGACTTTACAGTGAAAGGAGTTCTGCAAACCCGAAAGACCCTTGAAAGTGTAAGTCGTGGTGTTTCATACATTTAGGACCTCAAAAAGAGAGAAAGCACTACTGTGTGGGAGAATTAGTTAAATGGATGAGCCCCAGTATTTCAGTTTCCATGACTGTATTCAGAAATTATGCTGCCCTAGGCAGATTGGGGGTTGCAGCTCCAGTGCCCAGTTGGAGAAAAGCTGTCTTAATGGATAGCTGGACGTTTGGGTCTATAATTGTCTTTTTGTTTTTCTTTCTTAAACAGCAATACTACGAGGTTCCCATAGCAATGAAGTCTATTTTTGATTTGATTGACACTTTCCAGTCTCGAATCAAAGATATGGAAAGGCAGAAGAAGGAGGGCATTGTCTGCAAGGAGGACAAGAAGCAGTCACTGGAGAACTTCCTATCTAGGTACACGTCCTTTTGACCCTCAGGAGTGGCTGGGTTTGATTTGACTTTAAATCACCTTACATGATTACACCAAAGTACTGAAATAAAAAACAACAAACAGATGCTCATAGATTTGTAAAGTCTTTATCCTTTCCAAGAGAGCAATGTGATTTCTAAGAATTATACAGCAAACTGTCAGCTGAGAATGTCATTTTTTTCCTCTTGTTAATTGGAAAAGGCACTGATAATGAGGATTATTGGATTGGACTTGTGGTTGCACTGCTGACTTTGAGATCTTGAATCAGTGATTTCTCTCCTTCCTGGTCCTTACAGAGTACATGTGACTGACTTTCCTTGAACATGAATTGACTCAAAAGATCTCAGAATAGTAGAGTTGGAAGGTAATTTAGAGATCATCTAGTAGTCTAACCCCCACATTTGACAGAGAAGAAAATTGAGGCCTAAAGATGAGAAACAACTTATCTAAGGTCACATTGCTAGTAAAGGATAGAGCTGGGACTTCTTTTCATTACATCATGCCACTTCTATTTGGATACCCAAGTCACAAGAAATACAAATTTGGGAAAACTTGAGATGCCTGCTAAGTATACAAGGTGTCCCAAATGTCTGAGTGTAGTTTTAAGCTTTCAGGAAATATCTACTTCAATGCAATTGTACAAATCTATCCAAATGACTTCTATAAATTGAGAATATAATTTAAAAAAAATGAATAGCTGTAAAGATGCAGAGAAACATGCATTCCTACAAAGAAGATGACATTAGACTAAAAACTGATATGACTTTCAAGGTGCCACTTAACCTAAAGTTTCACTGGTGGCCAAAAAAAAGAGAAAATGTTACTTTCTCTATCTAATGTCCTGAAAAATAAGGCAATATTAAAAGGGAAAAAAATGGAAAATAGATCTTGGCCTCTCAGGAGTCTAGAGAGAAGAGGAAATATTTATGACTATACTGATTCTCTACCTACCAGAAACAAAAGAGAGAAAAATCCTGTATTCACAATAGCCTTCCCACTATTTTCAGTCTAATCAGAGAGTTTCCTTCCTGCTATGGCATCTCCACAGTTTGCTTCTTACTTCCCCTTAAGACTGCAGACAAAATTACACTTTCTATCTGGCAAATTTTGTGCCATATTTGAAAGATTTGAAGGTGCTGCTCCTTTTTAAGGGACAAGACAGTTCTGAATCCAGAAAGTCCTATCTTACCTCCTCAATCCAGGCATCACCCCCCTCTTAGTGTCTCATTTTCTGAGCCCTGTTTTTCTTGAAAGCTGATGTGAGGGTGGGCACATTATTATTATTATCCCCCCTTCCTTCTCTTCTCATAACCAATACTTAAAGGTGAGAAGGTGTCAAGTCATCTGTATCACTATAGGCATCTTTTTAACAACCTAGAAGGAGCTCCGAAGCTATAAAATATGATTGTTATATTTCACAATTGAGAAAATTGAAACTCAGAGAGAGAGAAATGTATTTACTCAAGGTCATGTCACTAGTAAGGGGCAAAATCAGGGACAGACCAAGATCTCCTGCCTCTGAATGTAATACTTTCCCCATGACCTTATACTGCTTCCCAGTGCAATACCATTAAATGAGACTGTCAATTTAGCCTATTGTCTTAGGCTAACCTCTTTGCAGAGAGGGACACTCAGGCCCCCATGGAGACATCTCTTAGGCTAAAGAAATTATCACCCTTTCTAGCAATAGAATTTGCTCATTTGAGCAAATGCCACCTCAATCTAATGTACTAACCTAAACTACTCATGGGTACACCCACTTCTTTTCTGTATCTGTCATCCTAGAGGATAATGACTGGTAAGGTCGCAGGGTTTCTCTTATCCAGGTTCTAGATTGAGGACTCTAGCTTCAAGGAAGGAATAAAATGGAGGAGTGTGTGAGAAAAACCTCTAGGTTGTAACTTCAGGAAAGAGGGATGTAGAAAATGACAGAATAAACTTGGGTTGTTTTTCAAATGGAATTTTTCCTCCAAATTTGCTGAGGTATTGGTGAGACTCTATATTCTCGCCTGAGATTAGCAGACATCGGAACTAGTCTAGTCTTCAGAAATGTTCATTTTGTTCTGCCTATAATTATCGCTCTGTGAGAATTAAACCGTAGAGAACGGTGTCAAATATCTACTGATTTGGGAATACCAGTAAGATATGTAAATACGTGCACAACTTGGGAGTTTTTCATTTGTAGAGTAGGCACACTGACAGTGAAACCACTCATTCCAAAATAAGTCAGTGGGTGAGATTCACAACCTATGCCATATCCTAGAGCATCAGCCCTACGGAGGGAACCAGGCAGGGCTCTTGGTGGACCCCCTGCCGACAAAGAGGCATTACTTAACAAGCAAACAACCCGCTGTTCATTATGTCTGAGACAGTAGTCCTTCAATCACATACCACAGAAGTCAGGACTTCATTCAATGGCATGGTTAGGTAAACACACCAAAATATACATCACCCAAAATAACTCCATTAGGGGAAGACTTCATATCTCTGTGTGAGGCCTGGGAGCCAGGGTTAGGTTGGGTCTGGGTTAGATGGGTCAGTGCTGGTCTGGCAAAACTCCTAAAAAAGCAGAATGCAGAGAACAGAGGGGTGTGACCCTGATAACAGTCACCAAGCTGTCTTCCAGAAATCTCTGACAGTCCTGACATCCCACCCTCCTGTCCTGCTCCTCCCTCCAGCTGAGCACACACTCCGCCCTCCCCCAGCTCCCCTACCCCTGCTATCCTAAATATTGATTGTATGTTTTCTTTTCCTTTCAAGAAAAACAAGTAATAGAAATCACTCTAATTTAATAATCATGGTTCTCAGTGAGGCTCATTAGAGGCCTTCTATTTAAAACTAATATTTCATCAGGCTATTACTGTGTTCTTCCCAGTCATTCAAACCTTTGCAACACTCCTCCTCACACCTCATCCCCACCTGCTCTTGAGGCCATTTTTTTAATTCTGGACTGCATATTCCCGTTTTTGTTCTCAAGCAGTGGGACTTAATGTCAGAGAAGGAAATAAATATGAAATCCACTCTTTTTTTTTTTTTAACACAGATCAATCTGTCCTCTATAGTTCTCCCATTACTTTAGGTACAAGGCAAAGCATATATTCCCCAATAAATGTATCCCAAACACCCTAAAAATGTCCCTTGGTTCTACTTCTCCTTTGTATACGTTGTCCTCATTTAAAGCCTAAATAATGCCCTTTTGACTTATGAGACTGTAATGAACAAGGTACAAACTGTGTTCAGTGGACATGATTCCAGCTTCCAGGACAGCAGGTTTATGGAAATGTACTAATCTGTGATAAAGGTGTTGGCAGTACAAATAGAAATTAAGAGATAGGTGGCATGGTAAATAGAGCACTGGCCCTGGAGTCAGGAAGACTTGAATTCAAATCCAGCCTCAGACACTTATTAGCTATGTGACCTTGGGCAAATCATTTAACTCTGATTGCCTCAAAAAAAGAAAGAAAGAAATGAAGAGATGGATGCAAGACAAACTGTAAAGGTAGAATTAACAGGATTTAGTAATTGATTGGAAATGAGTGGTAAAGAAGAGGAAAGAGTCAAAGATAATATCATTTTTCTTTTTTTAATAATTGGAAGATAGGGTGCCATAGTGAGAAACAATATAGTCAAATGAAAAAGAAAGGTTAGGGAGAAAAGACACAATGCAGCCTTGGACATGTTGGGTTTGAGGTACTGATAGTATGCCATGGAGTAGATACCAAGTAGGGCAGTTGGAGGCATAAGTATGGAGCTTAGAAGAGAAGAGAGAGATGAAGAGATGTCTATATATAAATATATATAGGTGGCAACTGAGGCCAGGAGAGTACATGAGATCATCAAGGGAGAGAATGTATACAGTGAAGAGAAGGTCAAGGAGAGACCCTTGGTGGAAACCTACTTTAAGAGTTTGGGGAAAATGTGAGGAAGAGAGAAAAAGAACATTTGAAGGTGGGAGACAGTAAGGATGATATGGAAACTTGGAAGAGTAGTGAACAGTGTCAAAAGCTGAAGAGAGGTCAACGAATATGAGAACTGGATCAAAGTCATTGGGTTTGTTGGTTGGGAAGTCCATGGTAATCTTTAACAAAGCAGCATTGGTAGAGTTTAGATTGGGCAGTAAGTGCCAGACTGAAAAGTAAGGAAGTGGAGGCATCAGGTATAAATAAATTTTTCAAGAAGGTTATCAATGAAGGGAAGGAAATAGAAAAATAATTGGATAGGTTAGAACAGTCCAGGGAAGGCTTATTATTGAGTTGGGGAAACCTGGGCACATTTTAGGCATATGGGAAGTGAGTTAATGGTGAAGGAGAGACTGAAGATATATTAAGAAAGTTGATGATCACAGGAACATTTTCCTGAAGACAATAAAGAATGAGATCAAAGGTGCAGGTAGATTCATTAGCCTTAATGAAGAGTTAATTAGTCAATATGCATTTATTAAGCACCTATCAATCAATCAATCAATACTTATTAAACACCTACTATGTGCCAGGTACTGGAGATACAAAGACAAAAGACAGTCCCTGCTTTCAAGGAGCTCACAATCTAGTGGGTGAAACAACACATAAACAACTACACATAAACAAGAGATATGCAGAATAAATTACAGATAATCAATGGAAGGAAGGTACTAGCTTTTAAGGAGGATGGGGAAAAGGTTCTCATACGGATATTTCTTCTATTACTCAAGGGAAAGAGGATAGCAATTGATGTTGCTGGAAATTTGGAGGAACAGAATAAAATACAGTTTTCTTGGTTAAGCAGGAGACAAAGTTACGTATTTTTAAATGTGGAAAATAAGAGTACAGTTGGGAGTGAGAGGAGAAAAGAAAAGGTTTGGAACAGTCATTCTGGAAAATTTCAGGTAGCTGATGAGGATGAAGGGTTGTCAGACAACACAGAACCATAGATTTAGAGCTGGAACACCATTGAATTCAACTCTTTCATTCTATAGAAGAAAAACCTGAGGCATAGAGAGGATAAGAGTCTTGTTCAGTAAAAAATCTGAAGGAAGATTTGGACAAAGGTCTTCTTGACTAAAAGTCTTGCACTCTGTCCACACCACATTGCCCAAGGGCAATGGTCTAGCTGAGTTTATGTGTAATAAAATTCTAATAGGTGAAATCAACTTAATTTTGTCACTTTCTGTAGCAACACATGAATTTTGAGTCAATATTAAAGGAACTAGATGGTGGAGGTTTCCAGGCATGAAAATACACAAGTTAAGAATGGTAGTTGATTGAGATGTAGGGAATTCTACGGTTGTTAAGTTACTGAAGCATTAAAATGTTATTGAGTACAAGGGCAAATCAAGTGCAAGTGGAATAGATAATCAACCTAAGAGATTAGGGATGAAAAAAGAGACCAAAGGATGAAGAGTAGTCTTGATCTAAGCAAAAGACTGGGAGAAATATGAGAGATTATGGTTGTCTAGTCAAATATTACAGTTCTAGATCATGGAAGCGGTGTCATGTACCAAAGTGATAAGGTGTTTAGTATATCTGTGCTAATTTGTGGCTGAAACTACATTACTAAGGTCAACAGAGAGGAGGAATTGTGTAGTTATGTTGTTAGAGAGGCTGTTGACACGAATATTGAAATTCTTACAAGTTAGGGCTTCTTATCCTTTAGTGTATCACCTTCTTTTAGTTCTCTAGTAAAATTATTGGAATCCTTCTCAGAATAATGTTTTTTAAATGCACAAAGTGAAATACATAGATTTACCAAGGAAACCAATTATACTGAAATTCAATTACCAATTTTTAAAAAATGTCCATGGACTCCAGTTTAAGAACACCTGCATACGGATGGTGACAGAGGAAGACTATGAGAGGGGACAAAATCCCTGAGAAAGAAGAAAGTAGGAGAGCAAATAGATAATGGAAACAGGGTTGAGGGAAAGAGTGGTATAAATGGATTGTACAGATGTAAAAAAGGAAATGATCTTGACAGGTGGCAGTAGAAGAAAGGCCAAGGAGAAGAATATGCCCTCTCTTCCTTCTGGTCCTGTGAATTGCAGGAGCAGTAGGAGAAGCTTCCACTGGAGAAAATTGAAAGGGATATGTGTCCTTGGGGAAGGGTCAGGTTTCAGTTAAAATGGAGGGGCTAACTTAAAAAGTTCAAGGATATAGGTGAGTTTGTTGAGAAGAGAGCTGGTGGTTCCAAAAGGTACATTGGATCTGGGCTAGGAGATGGGGGAATTGGGATGGAAAGGACCTAGGGAGGAGTGAAGCTGATTAGAATAGTGATGAATCTTTGTGAAGAGGTAGCATGGTCATGGTGCTTTTAATTTAGGTAGTAAAACTGAATGACTAGGTTTGGGGAGCCAGTATAACAGAAAGTAGATTGATGAGGCATGCTCTGTTGTCAAAGTTTAAATGATAGAAAGCTTGCAGAGTTCTTCTATTCCCTTGGTTTCAACTAGGATGTGGACGTCATTGTTTCAGCATGAACCTTTGTGGAATCTCAGTCCCAAGTGGCTTCCTGTGCAATGGTGAGAGGTGTCATTTGGAACTTTGATTGGGGAGGACAGAAGCTTTTGGCCACCGCAAAGCCTAATTCTCCATTGCTTATTTCCCAGATTCCGTTGGAGGAGGCGTTTACTTGTGATTTCTGCTCCTAATGATGAAGACTGGGCATATTCACAGCAGCTCTCTGCTCTCAGTGGACAGGCTTGCAATTTTGGTAAGAAGTCATGCCATTGCTACTCCTGCAGACCCTTTTCTTCTCGGTCTTTTTTTCTAAAATAATAAAAATAGAATGCTTTAAAGATTGCAAAGTACTTTTTAATATATTGTCTCATTTGAGCCTAATGGAAATCTTGTGAAGTGGGTACTACAAATATTTTATATAAATATATGTGTGTGTGTGTGTACACATACATATACATACACATATACATACATGTATACACATATCCATATATTATAACATTTCCTTATTTCAGCTGAAGAAACTGAGGCTCAGAGAGGTTCAGTCACTTGCCCATAGTTATAGAGCTTTTAAGTGTCAGAGGCATGATTTGAACCTGTCCTCCTGATCCCATGTCCAGCATCTACTATGCCAAGTGAAGGCATAAATCCAGATTATTGAAAAATCCCCTTTATTCAGACAATCCACTCCTGGGCACTGATTAGTTTTCAGCTGTGACATATACACAAATGTTTACCCCGTAGATCAAAATCATTTCCATAAATGTGAAGAAGAAAAAAAGGCTAGCCTGGTTTATATTTATTTTGTCGATTTCACAGGCCTGCATTTGAAAATGTGATTCACATGACGAATATTCCTGGTATTTGGGTAGGAAGCAACCTTGCCTGTTAGAAATATGTGTATTGAATGTACCAAAGAAACTGGAAAAGTGTATGTGCGTTTTCCCCCAAAAACTATATCTGCCTTGGGTTTTGGCTTCTCTTCAAAACAGGTCCATTTTCAATCTTCTATCCCCCATCCCCCATCCCCAGGCTACAGAACTGACTCTATTATTAGGTGATTAACTCCAGATTACTGCCTGATTTGAGACTGTCAAAATCTTCATGACATCTGGGTACCATGCCACGACAGGCCCCTTGTCCTTCCTGCTTTCTGTCCATTGTACCCCTGCATCATCTTTATCTTTAAAAGGATCCCAGCAAGTTGCCAAGGCATGACATCTTCCCTCTCTTTCTGGAAATTCAGCTGGATGTTTGAAATAAAGCTGTGCTTTTCCCAAGGGTTTCCCTTTGGAATTCTTTAAACAATCTCCTAAGCCCAGAGGGCCTACTCTGACTTGTGCTAATGGCTCTTTGGTGGATTCTTAGGATGGGCTCTCCATCAAATGAATCAAATTAGGTCTCTGACCTCCCAGTCCTCCCTCTGGAAGGAAGTTAATGAGAAAAGCTACCAAGGGAAGCCATTGCAATTTCTGGCTCAGCTTCCTTCCAAACACCAGCCAGCCCAAAGAATCTCAGATATTTTAATGAGCTAACTGCTTCATGTCTTGTTTCATCATTCCAGAGAATGCAAACCACAGTTTGAGACAAGTTCTTCTCTTTCAATCTACCAAAACATTTGAACATTCCTCAAACACTGATATTAATTCTAAGAGCCACAGGGTATAGCTTTTAGCAGTTTTCCCATTTTGGCATTTAAAAAAATTCTGAAGCCTAATGTGTGAATGAATTATTCACCTCATTTTCTTTTTTAATATATGTGTTAGCTCTGGAAAGATATCTTGGATGCTCAGCTGTAAAATTCTGGGAAGTAGTAGATGGTTCCCATTTGAAATGGATTGCTATAAATTAACTATGACTCTCATTTCTCCTCCAGGTCTGCGTCACATAACCATTTTGAAGTTGTTAGGCCTTGGTGAAGACATTGGGGGAGTTTTGGAATTGTTCCCAATCAATGGTAATATGTTTTTAAGTAATTGACTATTAGCAAAGTTAGTACACTCATACACACACACACACATACACACACACACACACACACACACACACACACGCATAAAGCATTTTTTTGAGACCAAGACAATGCTGGAAAATTAATACTATCCATTCAAAATATCACTTAGAAAATTAGTCAATAAAATCTATTTCCCATGTTAATTCAATTTGGTTTCACTAGATCTATTTTTGGGCAGTCTTTGCCCCCACCCTCCCCACACACACACATTTGCTGATGAAAAACTCCTCTTGGCTATAAAGGCATCAGTTGAAAGAATGACTTTGGTTGCCAAGAAACAAGTTGCTATTCTGACAGGAAACAAGTTCAGGAACATGGACAATATAGTCTTTGTTAATGATCAGCTTAAAAGAAATGAATCTGACTGGAGTTAAATTAAGAGTCTGATTCTACCTTTTGTAACATTCCTACGAAAGAGACATGATGTATACCAAAGTTCATTACTAATGGTATTATAGAACAGCAGGAAAGATGAGCTATTAGAAGCAAGAAGTAAATTTCTTTTAGAGCTTGGGCCAAGGTGATAACTATGCTGAGGCACTGTACTCTTTGAGGACACATGAACCCAGTTGTAACTCATGTCATCCTCTCCTCCTGACATTTTGTTACATTGTTATATGATCTATAGCTAATTCAGATGACTCCTTATGGCACAATTCCTGCATCACAATCTTGGCTTGTGCTAAAAGAAAGGAGGGTTGGGCTCTCTACTTGGTCCTGCCATATTGTTTTTTCCTGAACTACAAAACCACAATTCACTGATGAATTCTATTTCAATCCCATTCTAGGAAGTTCTGTGGTTGAACGAGAAGATTTGCCTGCCCATTTGGTGAAAGATATACGGAACTATTTTCAAGTCAGTCCCGAGTACTTCTCTATGCTTCTGGTTGGGAAAGACGGAAATGTCAAGTCCTGGTATCCTTCTCCAATGTGGTCCATGGTGATAGTATATGACTTAATTGATTCCATGCAACTCAGGAGACAAGAAATGGCTATTCAGCAGTCACTGGGCATGAGATGCCCTGAAGATGAGTATGCTGGCTATGGTTACCATAGCTATCACCAAGGCTACCAGGATGGCTACCAGGATGATTATCGTCATCATGAGGGTTACCACCATGGATACCCTTACTGAGCAGAACTATGTAACCTTTGCCTCCCTTCCATTTCCCAACCAATAACCCCTGCAGCTGTTAAAGCCACATATAGCCAGCTATGTAAAGAAATTACTTCAAACAGCTTAAACTACCCTGAATTTTTCTTACAGTGTTCATCCAAGACTAAATAAATAGCAGACTTTTGCCTTCCCCAAAGTGCATGAGTCTAAATTTTAAAATGAAATAGTTCCAAAATAGTAACCCCAGAGTTTTAAAGTAACAAAGACTTCTTTTTGTGTTTTCTTTAGCTGGAGGGCATCTATTGCTCAGTAATTGTACTAAAAACCAAGATGATTTTCTTTTATTTCCTTCAAAGATGGACATTGTATGGTAGAGAGAAGACTGTAAAATAAGTGTTCTGATGCTTTTTATTTTTTCAAAAGTATTTATTGGAAAGTGAGAATTTTGTATAATGTCAAAGAATATGAGTAAAAGGCCATAACCCAGATTCTTTTAAGAAAGGTGAATGAATGAGATTACAGTTTGATTATTAACACCTTTTAAAATGTCTGTCAAAAAGAAACTTTGCTTAAATTAACCAAGCTTCATATTTTGAGTTTCATTCATAAAATGTGACGATGAAAGAGGGATTACAACAACTTGATGAAAAATCTTTAATGAAAGGGAATGGTGATGCCATGTGACTTTGGCCACAAAATGGCTCTGTAGGTCTGTGAGGTTGACTCCCTTGTGAGGTTGGGTTTTACCTCCTTGCAGTCTCCATCCCCTGTTCAGTACACATGACCACTGCCTCCTAGGCCTCCCTGCTTCCTGCTGTCCATTCAGAGTTGTATCAGAGGGCTTTAGGGAGCATAAAACTTGGGCAGAGGAGAAAGGAGATAAAGAGCTCCAAAACTTGCTTTTGAACTTAACAAAGCTGTGGGAAGATTGCCAGCTATTTAGCCAAGGTGGAATAGCTTTAAGTGTGGGAAGGCTAGACCCCTCCTATCACAAATAATGTCCGTGTTTATTTACTTCATTGGACTCACTATTAATACAGTATGCTATATTAGAAGAATACAGAAGCATAGTTTCCATGGATCCCTTTGTTTCTGTTGTGTGGCAGATGTGACCTATTTATATCAATAATGGAATAAAAATGTGGGAGGGAAGTGAAATTGTTTCTTCGAAGGTGGAGTTTTTTTTCCCACTTTACAATGGAATGAAATATGCATTCATCGTTCATTCATTCATTCATTCAACAGATGTCTATTGAATGTCCACTGTGTGCTTCATTAGGCTCTCTGAACAGTCTTACCCAGTTTTACTGACTGCTGTGGTCTGCTCCCATAACAGGGAGGTGCATTAGTCATTATTATTGCTAACAACTAATGCCAGAAGAGTTATTATTAGCTAATGATAATGCACAGGTTAATTCTAGGTAAGACAAATGTTTGTGAATTTGTTGTTAGCTCTGTCATGACTGCTGGTGAAGGTCTTCAGGCATCCCCATCAAATCTCTGTTATGCTGCAAACAAAAGTTCAAATGGGAGCCCTAGGTCTAAAAAAAGGAAGAGAGCTTGAAAAAGTTTCCATTTCAGGTCTCTTCTTTCAGGAGAAGGAATATTATCATCCTCTCTTTCAAAAGAAGCAGCTGAGACCCTGAAAGATTTCATTCTACTCAACAAACATATATTGAGCACCTATTCTATATAAATGCACCATGCTGGATATAGAAAGGATATAGGGAAGGATAAAAGGATTGATTTTAGGACCAAGGATATAGAAAAAAGATATAGATGGATAAGGATATGGAAAAAACAGGAAATAGTCCCTACCTCAAGAAATTCACATTTTAGGGGGGTAGATGAATATGACATATAAATGCAACTCAAAGTCTGGAACAAAGGGGGCAAATGATAGAGTAGATCAACTATTCTTTAAAAAAATTGAGGAGAAGAGAGAGGACTAAGAAGTGAGAGAACTGGGAAAGGCTGCTGAATAAAGTGGCATCTGAGCTGAGATTGGAAGGAAGATAAAGATTCTAAAAGGGGAGACGAGAAAAGAATGCATTTCAGGATGATGGGACAATCAGTGTGAAAGCATGGAGACTAGAGAGGAAAGGTAAAATTCAGAAAATAGCTAGCAATGCAGTTGGGTTATAGGGAGTAGAGGGAGTGAAAGGAGGTGATACAAAATTAAGTAGGGAAGGAAGATCAGAACCAGACTGTTGAGTCTGTGTTTCACCCTATAGGCAATAGGAAGCCGCTGATGTTTTTGAACAGGGGTTGACGTTTTTCATTAGGAAGCTAATTTTGACAGCTGTGGGAAGATTGCAGAGGGTAGAAACACAAGAAAGGGAGATGAAAATAACAGCATCTGAGTTGAAAGGGACCTCTGAGACTATTTAATTTAACTCTTCCATGAATTATTTCTTGATAATAGAACCAAGGTATGGTTATCCAAGACAATAGGAGACTCTTACAATAGTCCAGGTGAGAGGTAATGAAGTTCTAAAGGAGAGTAGGGTATGTGATGGCAAGGTGATAACATGTCATAGAAGTGGAATCAACAAAACTTGCCAACTGATCATTTGTGGGGTGTTGGGGAGGAGGATGAGCCTGTCGGTGGGGAATAGTCAGGCAGAAGGAAGAGAACCAAGAGAGAATTATGTCACAGAAGCCAAGGATGTAGAGTTTCTGGGACAACAGGGGCATTAGCCAACAGGATTGTAAGCCATAGACAGATAGCAGCCTAGAGGTGAGGGTTTAGCCATCTGGGGATCACAACTAACCTTTGAAGAAGAAGTATTGTAGTGGGATTGGAAACCAGATTGCAAAGAGTTGAGAATTGAGTAGGCAGTAAGAAAGCGCAGCCGGTGAATGATTAAAGAAATTCTTTCTAGGAGTTTGACAATAAAAGAGAAGAGAAGTATAGGGTGACAGCTTGGGGAAATGGTAATAAGAAGTGAAGTACCATTTTTTTTAGAAGATGGACATATGTGCAGCCATCAGGTAAGAAGCCATTTGTAGGAAGGGAGTGGGGAATATCAGAGGAGATGTGATAAATACTACTAATACAACACAACAACCCTTGATAAGATGAGGTACCTACTTCTCTGAGACTGGACAAAGGAGAGAATGGTTGAAGATATAGAGAGGTTTGAGTAGGGAATTATGGTTGGATGGACTCAATTATCTCAGTAAAGCAAGATTTTTGCTGAGTAAGATTGTTTGCAAAATTGTGGTGGGGCCTTTTGAAGAAAGAAGATATAGAATAACCACTGTTGGGTATGATAGTCACTCACTTTTTGCACTGAGGATCTACTTGACCTGGGAGGTGGGGCAAAGATGAGTGGAGTGGAGGGTGGGAGTTCTCTGAGGGCTGAAATAAAATGGCCTCTGAAAAACAAAAGGAAATAGATGGTACGTGTCGCTTATGATTGAAGATCGGCATTGACGTGAATAGTTGGAGTCAGCAATGTATTACTCAATGTTTAACCACCAGCTCTCCAACAAAAATGCGTGTATGACACACTTTAATCACACAAGTTTAATCTGCATTATTAACATTTTGTCTACCATTTTCTTAAGTCCAGACAACACACAAAGCAATAACTTAAGCTCTAATTTGTAGCGTTTGCTCATTTTTGAGATGTCAGTGCTCACACTGAACATTTAACAATCTCTGAACTGGTATGAGTTAGCTACAGCATGGTTTTTTGGTTTTTGGGGGTTTTTTTGGTGAGGCAATTGGGATTAAGTGACTTGCCCGGAGTCACACAGCATGTTAGTATTATGTGTCTGAGGCCGGATTTGAACTCAGGTCCTCTGGACTCCAGGGCTGGTGTTTGATTCACTGTGCCACCTAGCTGTCTTTACAGCATGCTTTTGGTTGGAGTACATGGAAAGAGGTTGGAGGAGAGTGACCAGCTCAAAAGGTCAATGACAGGGTCAGGAATGAAAGGATGCCTGAGGCTGTAGTAAAGGCGATGGATAAGGACAGGAAGATATAGAAAAATGGAGGTCATAGGAACCATAGAGAACAGGTTTAGGAAGGAGAAAATAATTTGTTAAGCACTTACTAGGTACCAGGCATTGTGCTAAGCGCTTTTAATACTGTTTCATTTAATCCTCATAACAACTCTACGAGGTAGATGCTGCCAATTTCCATATTTTACAGTTGAGGAAAATGAGGCAAAAAGAGGTTATGTGACTTACCCAGAGTCACACAGCTAGTAAGTATCTGAGGCTGGATTTGAATTCAGATCTTCCTGATGCCAGGCCCAGTATGCTGTTCATTGCACCACCTCACAGGCACCCATGTTTGAGAGGCATGAGGCTGAGGAAGACATGAAAGGATAGGAGATCATTTTTGGAGAGGAGAACTTCCAGATCATTGAGGTTGTATAATTATGGGTCTAAGGCTGATGTCAAGGCCTGGAAGATTTGTTGCAATGGAAGCCAAGGAGAATGATTTCTCTAGTCCTGGGCATTAATGGGGTTACTTCATTCCACCAGATCTCCTCAGCACATTCCCCAGGAAAAGGTGAAAGGGGTGGTCCATCTGGGGCTGAGGCCACGTCTTGGTATTATTTCATTGGGAAGATACACCACTATTCTCTCAAGTAGAAGATTCAGGCCTTCTCAGGATCAATGGAGCTTTTGTAAACAATTTAGCATCCTCCATGCTCCTTGGCTTTTGCACATCTTAGAAATGAAAACATACTCAGGAGGCCCTACCTTGGAGAAGCATGAGCCTGGATGCTGTTTTAAGATCTGACCCATGAATAAGTGAGAAAGGTAATAATGTTGTGGGGAGTCCAGGCAAATCCTAGCTTTCCTGAGACAGATATCCTAAAGGCTCATCCTCCTTCATCCCACCAAAATAATTTTCTTCTTCCTTTTTCCTCACTCCAGCTTCTTCTTCCAACCATTCTGCCCTGCATGTCAGAATGATGGGCCATAGGTTTCATATGGCCATTTGAATTTGAGCTGTGTTACCAGTTCCCATGTGGAACTATCTGATGTCACCTGAGAATCCAAGTCTCATGCATATCCCAGAACCTTTAGGTCCATTTGGATCCAAACATTCAGCTAAGCTCAGTGCTCAGTCAGTGCTGCCTGCTCATTATCACCTTTGGCAAAGAGAAAGAGATTTGATGGGGACAGTGGATTTCAGCTGACACAGAGAACTGGGAAAACCCAGAGGGGGCTGCTTTGAGTGGGGCTCTCACTTCCATCTCAGAAAGCCACCAGAAGTTTTTCTTAGATAGGCTAGAGCTGCCATGGAAAGTTCAGGTGGGTGAGGAGACAAGAAGGGTTGTGATTCGGGCTTCTGAGAGTATTTTTAAAATGTCCCTCTGGGATGGTCACATGTGAGATAAATCTATGACAATCATAGCTTCGCACCAACTAGGCAAGCAGAAAATTTCTGTAGTCTTATATCTTATATCTTAGCTCTTTCCTCAAGGGTGGCAGATGAATAGTCCCTCATCTTCTAAGATGTGGGATAAACACTTATAATAGGGGTTCTTAGCCATTTTTGCATCAGAGACCCCTTTGGCAGTCTGGTGAGACCTATGGACCTCATCTCAGAATAA